AAGTAGCACAGATGAGGTGGGAGGGGTCGGGTGAAATACTTGAACCAGGGAGATAGCAGACGGATTCTACGGAGCAAGAGGGAAACTCTGATAAAACCTAGGGAAGGAGGACTGTGTAACAATATGGCAGACTCTGATCAACATTTCCACAAAAGAGTAAAAAGAGGTAAGAACGCGAGCGTCGAGTGTAGTGTTCCCATTAGAGCCGCTCAAAAGAACACACCACACTACATTTATATAAGCACGAAAAAAATGCTAACAGTGAAGGCGTGATGCGAGGATATAGGAAATGTGAATAGCCCAGGACAGGAGAGATAGCACAACTGTTTAGCGCACATTTAGTCAAAGGATCGGCTTCACTTGTCTCTTTGACCAGTTGTGGTATGGTGCTAAGAATGGCAAGACTCATTGAAAATGCCGACTTCGATGCCGGAAAAACGTCTGGTAATGTACCACGTCCATGGTCCAAGTTTGGAAATTATCCTGCATACAAAGGAGTCCGATCTACGTGCGTTCCTCTAAGTCTTCCTACCAATATGACCAAATTGTCTAAACAAGGTCATACAAGTTTTATACAATGAAAAGAGACTGAGACCACACAAAAGGTCACACCATCTTGGTATTCATATCCTCGCATAAAATTTCTTTTTTAATCGATTACTTGACTGTTTAGGTGAAAGTAATAATTACACATTTGATGATTCGATAATACTTAAGCAAACGATAGAAGTAAACCACCTCCAGCAAGATGAAACCTTTCTTGATATGCTAGATATTTTCAGTTGCGATTTTATTTTCGATTTGTTAATGGCTTAATTTTTGTCACTAAATGTGTCTCATAAGATGAGCTAAAGAATGATAGTACAGTTCTTCCCATGATGCCAGTGAATTTCATTTAGCCTTGTATCCAAAAAGGTTTTTGCATTAGAGGTGCAAAGCAGTCTCAACCCCACATAGGTTTCCTCACAACCCAAACGGAATTTGGAACAGAGTAGACAGCATATTAGTGGCATATTGTCAGTAAGCTACAGTTTCGAAACAAAAATAATAAGTATTTGTCATAAGTAAAGCGAAGTACAAGCAATGTAGCAACCCAATATGCTTGTTTAAGTTGGACTGTGATATCCGAAAATAGAATCTAGAAGCTATTTTAGCCAATCGAATGGAAATAACATTATATCTTAGCCCTTCGACGAGTTTTTGCAAGGCTTGACTAGCTCAAGGATGTTGTACTTAAGCTCAAATTAGCCAATGTAATTTTCCAAAGTGGACTTTATCAAGGCGACGTTAAGAATTTTTCTCAGAGAGAGTACTGTCTTCAGGTATTTTGCGTATCCCCCTAGAAAATAAGCTGCCTTTACAAAAAGTTAAACAATTTCCTTTTTCTGTCATTGTTAATAAATCTAAAGTTGAAAAAGCCCAATACAATAGAATATAGCATAGAAAGGTCAATTTAAAATATACGTTTTATAAAACTTGCACATGCTCTTCAAAGCAACAATACGTATTAGGCACCCGTCCAACAGTGAACAGAAGATTTCTTTATTCGGACGAAGATTGGAACAGTAATATGCATGAAGAGGCTGAAGCAACTAAGCTAGATGTAAGAAAATAACTGCAATTCACCATTATAACAAGTCCAATTGCGCAAGGATGAATCTTTTGGGGATGGTGTCAATACCAATTTACATTGAGCATATGATTTGTTTATTGGATACCTAGCTGCATTTGGTCAGTTGAGACATTTCTAAGGGAATGACATTTGGCTCAAAAACATGTGCAACCGCTTACAATAGCTTACCTCCGGCTGAGATAGGCAACTAGATATATCTGGAGCTATGATCCCTTCGTCTCTCAATGAAGCCGGATCGAAGGACTTAACTTCGTTGATTATATTATTTTGTGAAAGATCTTTGTCGATAGTATCAAGCCCATTGACCAGAATAGATGTGGATTGCTCAGAAATGATCAGAGGAGGCGATGCAGTTAAAGAAAGAAAAGATTGGCAGACATTTCCTTGGCTTGCAACCAACGAGTTGGTCAGATCTAAAATCATAGGCGTTGTCACTGGCAAAAAGGGTTGATGAAGTAAGACAGTATCGAAGGTAGCAGATTCATTTTGTATTAATGGAAAGTAAGCCGATGATTGTTGAGTTGGACATAGCAGTGGCAATTGACGAACAATACAGGTTGTCTGAAGGGCGAATCTACTTTCTTGCATATGGAAAGAGCAACTAGGTAGTGATGTGTCGAGTGGTCGGGTAACATATACAAGAAGTTCAAATAACTCAATTACCCCTAGTTCTGCATCAGGGGAGTACGAAACGGGGGCTATTTCGTAGCTGGGCTGGCGACAAATCTGCTCTGGTACCTGAGCTACTGGTGCCGTTAACAAGGATGTGGTTTTAACATTCAGGCATTTGGAATCAGTCACAAGTGACGATAATGGCGACCAGTGAGCAACCAGGACCTCAAAGTCCGTCTGCTGACTGGTGGTAGCAGCAAATAATCCAACCGCTGAGTCCGTCTGCTGCCCTGAAGTTTCAGCCACCACGGACCAGGCATCTGGATCCTCAGTATCGGAAGTGAAGCAGGAGGCGGATATCTCATGATTGAGTGCTGAAACAACCGTTGCATGCAAGTCGACTGCAGGCACCAGGGACTCGGCCCCAGATACAAGATTGAAACTGCTCGGTAGACAAAGAGGATATGTACAGGTGACTAGCAAACTGCCCTCTAGGCGTGGCTGTTTGCAGCTTATGTCAGCCGGAAGTCCTGCTAAACGGTCAGTGAGCTTATTTGTACTTTGAGATCTATGGAAGTCGGATACAGAGGAAAACACAGATGACGAAGACGTTGCCGAGGGATAAGTAGTCGGAGGAGAGGCGAGAATGTGTTGTCGCAGACGGCCAATCTGGGAGCATAGAT